TTTCTAAGTTTTTGTTTCGGCTATCTTTTTCACTTCTCTGAAAATGCGATTTCACTTTCCGGACTTCATACACACGTACACAGCTATTCATACCTGCAGCTACATGCGTGCAGGTATACAGATAGTCCTTAGCCCGCAAACATTAGTTTAGCGACATTTCAAATGTCCATCGGCATTGAAAAAGGGGCCTTATGACCGGTTTGCACCCTGATGACCGCTGCACAATCTCCAAGGTCAGGTGATCCAAATTCGGGGCTCGGCAACCGCCTTGTCTCGATGACAATTGCACTGTGCCAGGATGATGCGCTAGTCCTTCGTAATCTTCCCATCCGGCTTCCGACAGGCAAAATCAATGCGGCTAACAGATTCGCTTACCGACAGATGATTCATTTAACGACGGCACTGGTTCCCTTCACCACTGTGCCCAAAAAAGAGCGTGAACGGTGTGCAGTTCACTTCACAACTGCCTAGCTTAGCAACGGAAACTTAGGGCTGAATGGCGGGCCTAGGTCACGGACCGGCTGCGTAGCAGAAAACTTAGCTTTTTAGATCTACTCGATTGAGCAGCCATCGAGCATCCGGGGGCGGGGCGAGGCGGGGGGTCTGTTGCTGGGAAAAGCAGGGTTGCGTTCTGTTCGCCCAGCTGATGCGGCACCCAAGCTCTGAAAGTGGCAGCAAAAGGAAGGGGCAGCTGGTGAGGGTGAGGAGGAGGAAGAGCGAGAAAGAGGGGAACGGGGCAGGCTTGGGTGGGGAGAGAGGCGGGGGCAAAAGCCTACAGCACCCGGTATTCCCAGGCGGTCTCCAATCCAAGTACTAACCAGGCCTGACCCTGCTTAGCTTCCGAGATCAGACGGGATCTGGCACGTTCAGGGTAGTATGGCCGTAGACGGTGTTCCAGCTGCTTGCCGCTGCCTTTAAGCCACCTGCAGCGCCCCCTGTTCAAGCCCTGGCAGGGAATACCAGCCACAGGCTCCTCGCACGCCCCCAAGGCCCATCCTTCCCGCTTTGCGGCTGCTGCACACACCGGCTCCGGGGCTGTGCCTCTCTGGGCTCTTCCCACCAGTCCATCCTTCTCCCCTCAACCTAGTACGCCTGGCTACCTAATGGCCGGCTCCCGGGCCAGGCCCCGGTCGCTGCCGGACCCCTTTCCGAGGGAACCTGCAGGAAAAATGCAGCTGCCGCACATGCTGCCCTGCAGTGCAGGCCGTCCCCACTCTCAACAAGCAGACACAAAGCACAGCTACCCATCAGATCTTCATTAGGGCGCGCAGACCAGCCGAAGAAGGCTGGGATTCCCAATCTTGGCTTGAGCGTTTTCTCTCTTTAAAGGTAGTCCTCGACT